TTGTTTGATTTGGACATTTGGAAACTAAACTTATGAGACAGTTGTTGTTTTAAGCTCATTGGTGGTTCCAAATATGTAATGTAATCATAAGTTTGGCAAACAGTTTTGAAGAATTTGATGTTTCCCCATTCAGACATAATGTCCAAGCATTTAAGGGACTTTGGCCATACCAAACACCCGCATAGTATATTAAAGTGTTATAATACTTAAACATTCAGAAAGCTACATGTCTACATCCCTGACTTGTTGCTAAGGCATTTTTTCGGGTTGCTAGATGTTCTTAGGTGGTTGCTAGGACACAGTAGGTGATTGCTATTGAATTCTGGGGGGTTGGTGAGGTGTTCTCAACGTTTGCTGTAGAAGTGGAAGGTAGGATATGGCCATAAATGCGTAACGGAGATAACACTTTCATCTACTCATACATATAAGCGTGTCTGCCATATTGGAACAGGCAACATGTTGTCACCAAGATGTCACAACATTGCACATGCTCTGCTTATAAACACCCACTGAGATCTAAATTCATAGAGAGAATATGGATAGCCTTACAAAGATGAGAACGTGTGTTTTTTATATGCTAGGGTCTTCTGCACGGTTGGCACAACATTAAAGTGGCTCATAAATGGATTTCCTAAGCAAAACCCACTCACGAGTGATAAATTCAGAACAAACGAACGGAACGAGAAACTAAACATCAGATATGTTTTCCACATTGTTTGTGCAAATGTATATCAATGTTTACCCTTTTGCGGTTTAGCTAATTATGCCGAAAGAACATCTTTCAATAATGAGTATTTGTCTGGTGTTTGAGCATGGTTGATTCAGCTAATTATAGAAGACCAGTGCAAGACTAAACAAACAGGCGCAACTCAATACTCTCATCTAAATGCGTGCAACGTTTCCACCATACAGGCAAATAAATCTTATCGCTGAAAAAAATGATTGAATGTTTACTTTACAGCTAGCATTAAACTGGACACGACGTTCACGTCAGAGCGGATGAAAAGTGGGACAGCGTGATGAATAAAGTTTAAATGAGTAGAGAAAAGAGAGAAAGGAAGAGAGAGTCTGACAGAAGCCTAAAATGAAAGGCGGTGAAACTCGTCCCTTGACACCTTCATGAATAGTGAAACAGGAGTAAAGGACGATAGGATGTGCTCTCCACATCCGTCATGGTTTCCAGTTGCTTTAGAGATGCTCCTTATTCAATATTAGCTTACACGGCCCACAATTACAACGCTAGCTCTGGACTTCAAAGTCATTTCGCTGCTTTGATACTGTTGCTTTGAGATATACACACTACTTAAATTCGACTCAATTCAATTACACGATTTCCTCAGGTCTCGTTGAACAGTGTCTTATGATCATTTCAACCTTTTTACAGGAGCTTTTTTCAATTATGATATGCTTTTAGAAACATTTTCGACAATTAAGACATTTGTTACACTTGCTGCAGCTTTTCTGCATGCATATTAAAAGCAGTGGTTGATAACTGATCAGCTTATGTTCATAATGAGTATGTTTAGATGGATACCGATAATCTGATTTTAATACGATTAACAATACTCTGATTAAGAGTCTACCACAGGGCTATTCAATTAGCTTATCTTGGAGGCCAGGTTATGAAAAGCACCCCAAAAGAGAGGCTTGAGAGATAAGACTTAAAATATGAGTGATGACACGAACACAATAAGAGCCCATATGGTGTATTTTTGCTCTTTAAGACACACATATAGTTTTTTTCTACATTAAAATGTGAATATATTGTATTTTGACTCTACATAATATCAGTGTGTTGTACAATAGGCTTTATTTTACAAACATAAGCAAATGTTGTATTTCAGAGCACAGCAAAAGCAGTGCATTGCTTAAGTAGGCTTCTTCTACATTCAGACACATTCATTTGTTATGTTTTGAACTGCATAACAATAATGGATGCAACAATTATAGATTTTGGTTGTACGTTTATATACGTGATCACGTCTAATGTAAATTTAAGCTTTATATTAGGTAAGTATTTAAATGAACTGTTGTTATTATTTGTGTTCCTACATTCATAATTATTTTAATAATTTGTAATAATTCATCTAACATATATTTAATTTACATTGCACTGAAAGCCACGCACAACTCTCACCGCTACATCATGAAATGTTTTCTACTCTGTGTGTCTTGAAGACACGAGGGCTTTACTCCGCTTGCGCACACATATTGGCATATATTCTTACACTGGAAATAACGAACTTGTGCGTAAAAAGATGCAATATGTGAATGGCCAGCTGCTATAGTTAATCCAGTGTGCGTGCGTATTAGCCTTGGTGTATGAGCTCGGAACTTTAAACTAGCGCACAGGTGGCATAACTTTGTTTAGTTGCAGCAGTTTCGTTCCGTGCAACAGAAATGCGGCGTTGAGAATCCTTTAAGCTTAAATATCCAATTGTTTTTGGCTGCTCGCACTACTCGCATTAATGTCAGGTGACTCACGCTCTGCACAGCCTTCAACTGCAGCTCGTGCTGTATTGAACAGACGTATGTCACTTCATAACTACAGCCGCCATTTTTAGAATGAACTAAATTTATTTTTGATGTCTTGGTCACACTATTTTGAGGACCGGGACAAATTGCCACATGGGCCACCAATTGAATAGCCCTGGGGTGCGTTACCCAAACAACGATGTAACTCGCAGCTGAACTATCATAGTACAATGCATCGTTTGGGAAAATAACTATGTAGTGACGAGTGTTTCCCAAAACCCGTAGTTTCTCTGTCGCAGATCCATCGCTTGAACCACGTTAGCTGAAACGTGAAACGCAGTTTGCGAATGTTCGTTGGAGCGAAGGATTTGGGAAACAGCAAATCAACAAACTATATTTGTAACAACGGAACTTGCGACCTTAGATGGCTAACGATGGTTTTGGGAAACGCACCCCTGGTCTACCATGTAAACAGGGATTTTTGATTAATCAGACTAAGGTCGTAATCGAACTAAACAGAAATCAGATTAAGACATGTGGAGAATGCTGATTTTAGTCACATTAATTGCAGTACAGACATGTAAACACCTTAATCAAACTATTTACATTGTGAGGGATTTTTGGAGCATTTTGCAACAGGATATTTCATACACACACGGCTGTTTGACACTTTTCTCTGCACCTACAGAGTCAGTGAAGGACCACAGACACACACATCGTAAAATGCAGAGTTTTTTTTCTCCTATACGGCGTGTGCTATCAAATTCCATTAAAACAACACTCTTTCAGCAGTTCCTACTCGCATAAAATATCTTGTTTGTCACAGGGGGCATGCATGAAATGTTCCTGATTGAAAGTGAAAGTGCCAAACTGCAGTTAAAGTCGACAAATTAAAAACAAAACACCCAAAATTACATGAAATTTCAGAAGAAAATGTGGATAGCGTGGTGACACAATGATGGTAAACGAATTATGTGCTACAACATGTAAAACAGGATCATGAAAGGAACATCCAAAAAGCAACTCATGTAAACATCTTAATCATATTATTGTCTGATTTCATATTTTGTGTATATTAAAATGCTAAAAGCTAATATCAGTCCCAACATTTTGATATACTAATGTACGGTATTAGATATTTATGTTTCATTAGATATTTATCTGCTAAAGATTACATTTAATAGTGATAAAAAAAAACATTTATTTGTTTTTATTTAAGATTAACTTTTAATCGAGCATTTTTACTAACATTTCCAATAATTGCAGATTATTTTTATAAACTTAAAATATTGGGTTCAGTAGCACATTTAAAAATACTTTTGTTCATCAAGGATGCATTATTTTTTTTAAAGGTGACAGTAAAGACATTTATATTGCACTATGCATTTATATGTATCAAATGCTGTGTTTGAACTGATGTTTCAACATCAGAGAATACAAAAAATATATATAAAGGCTTTCAGAAAATATTAAGCTGAACAACCGTTTTCTACATTGACAATAATAAGAAATGTTTATCCAAATCAGCACATTAAAATTATTACCAAAGATCTTTGTGAAACTTAAGTCTGGTGTAGCTAAAAAAATGTAATTACGACAACCCAGCATTTTTACAGAGTAATGATTACATAAATAATATTCCTGCGTTTGTACTATTTTTAACCAAATACTTCCGGCAATGGTGCACATTAGACCAGAATTAGTTTCCAATATTATAATATTATTCAATTTACAAACAACCCCAAACAGAACTGATGCAATTACACAATTTGATACACCACTGTGCTCTTCATACATCAAAGCTATTTTTAGACTTTTACCACATCTCCTATTCCCATAAAAAGATCTAAGAACAGTAAAAGGCATTTAATCTCCATGTAAATGATAAACATCAGTTCAAACTGATGAAAAAGTCAATTTGATGGAAGCTCATAACACAAGCTGTTTCTTGTAACATTTCACTATTGTTTTGTCTGTGGTAAAGGCTCGTGGTAAAGTGCTTTATAACCCAATATTAAAGGGCTTCAGCTTCAAGCCAATATCTCTGAGAGTGGCTGAAAATAAAACATCAGGAAGAAACTACAAACCCGGAGGGCTCCAGCAGAAATGAGGTGGGTTTATAACCATTTTGCCTTCTGGGTATCCCAAATAATCAGTCACTGGATGAGAGTGACATTTACAGGGCACTTACGTCCTTTTTTAGATGGCCCATAAATACCAAGAGTGAGACTGATGGGGAAAAAGGAAGTGTCCTCACTAGCGCCTTTCTGAGGGCTGAATAAACTCTAAAATGGAAGAACAGAGCGTAAGCACAACAAGCCATACTAAATAACCAGCACTAATGGATTCACCCCTTCAAACATAACAAAGCTGAACATCATCATCAGCGGCTCCTACCCTGGGCTACAGGTGTCAAACAATTCAGAGCTCAAACCATGTAACTCTCACTGAAAAAAACAGACATACACACACACATAAATGAGCGAGAATTGGCATCCTCACGACTCTTCAGAGATCTGACTTACTGGTGAATGGCTTGAAGGAACTTGCGCTGATGTTTCCTGACTTTGGCGTGGTCCATCTTTCTCACCAGCTTGGTGTTTTTATAAATGAGCCACGTCTCCCTGAGAACATTAGCAGCTGTGTTTTTCACCTGTAGGAGAGTTAGCATTAACATTTAGCAATCCCTTCTGCTTCTTATCCTGATTTTTAAACAGGGCTAACTTGCTTTGGATTATAAGGTTTAGGATAGCCTTAGGATAGGCTTCCCGAGTTTGAGTGCCGACACAGGGACCTGTCCCAATCCCATGCCACTCTCTCTTCCACTTTGCTTCCTGTCCATATATACGTATACTACCTGACAAAAGTCTTGTCGCCTATCCATGTTTTAAGAACAACAAATAATAACTTGATTATTATTATACTGTTAAACCAAATACTTCCGGAAATCGTGCACATTGGAGACCAGAATTAGATTCAAATATTATAAAATTATTCATTTTGCAACCAACCCCATATGGAACTGATGCAATTACACAATTTTGACTCATTATTTTAATACACCACTGTGCTCTACATACATAAAAGCCATTTTGAGACATTTACCACATCTCCTTATTCCGATAAAAAGATCTAAGAACAGTAAAAGGCATTTAATCTCCATGTAAATGATAAACATTAGTTCAAACTGATGAAAAAATCAATTTCAGAAGTGGCTGATATGAAAGGTTAAGGCCTCTAAATTATGCTTATTTTACCAAAATAAGATATGATCATGCATTGATTTTTAATTATTTAATTAGGACAGTAGGCTCTGACTTTGCTTAGACAAAAGTCTTGTCACTAAACAGAAATAATGTACAGTATAAAATATAAAGTCTTGGTGCAGTGGAAAAAGAATTAATATTGTGTATGACTCCCGTGAGCTTGGAGGACTGCATCCATAAATCTCTGCAATGACTCAAGTAACTTAATAAAGTCATCTGGAGTGGCAAAGAAAGTGTTCCTGCAGGACTCCCAGAGTTCATCAAAATTCTTTTGATTCATCTACAATGCCTCCTCCTTCATCTTATCTCAATAATGTTCATATCTTGTGACTGTGCTGGCCAATCCTGGAACACCTTGACCTTCTTTGCTTTCAGGAACTTTGAAGTATGAGAAGATGTGCTGTCCTGCTGGGGTTTCCAATGCAATGGGCAGCACAAATGTCTTGATACCTCAGGCTGTTGATGTTGCCATTCACTCTGCAGAGCTCTTGCACATACTCATACTGAATGTAACCCCAAACCATAATTTTTCCATCACTAAACTTGACTGATTTCTGTGTGAATCTTGGGTCCACGCGGGTTCCAGGTCTTCTGCAGTGTTTGTGATGATTGGGATGCAGTTCAACATGATTTATAGGACAAATCCACCTTCTGCCACTTTTCCATATGATCAACGAGAAGTGAAGTTATTATTTGTTGCTCTTACAACTGGGATTGACGACAAGACTTTTGTTGGGTAGTGTATCTTGTTATATCATAATAAAATACAAAAAATATAAAGAATAATAATAATATGCCCTAAAAAAAAAGACTACTTATTTAATGACACTATCTTATGGTTTTCACAAAAGTTTAAAGCTGGCCAACACTGATGTAATAATAAATAATAATAATAAATGCTTCTACCAGATGATCAAACTTATTTCTGAAGCCTTACACTAGACTAGGACTAGAGTAATGATGCTAAACATTCAGCTTTGCATTAAAGGAATACAATACATTTTATAAGATATTCAAATAGAAAATTTGTCATTTAAAATTGTGCAGAATTTTTAAAAAATCTATTTTTACAATGCAATTTTAACATAATTATTGTATTTTTCATCAAATAAATGCACCCATGACTAGCAGAAGAAACATCTTTCAATTAAATATTTCTTCAGCATTTTTTATTTGATTGTGTCATTTGCAATGCTTCATGGGATTGTACTTCTTTCCCTCATTATCACTATTATTATTTTATTTTTGTATTCAATTTTGTTATTGACCTTGTAGGTGGTTGGTTTGGCTCATTGGCTATAAATCTGTAACTAAGACTATAAATAAAACACTTCCTGTCTAAAAGCCGCTGAAAAAAGTTTGCAGACACTAATGCACTCTATTGCTGGATCATTAGCATTAAACCTCTGTTAGCATAATTAGCTAATGTTTAAGTGTGCTCCAAAGCACAAAACTTTGTTTTACGCTTTGAGTATGTGAAAAAGCTTCACTCACTAGACCAAAAGGCTCATTTCCCGACTAACAGCCTGATCGCTTACATTTTTTTGCCAGACCAGTGTCACAATTGTGAACATCATTGGAAGCTTTAGCTTTTTCGCGTTTTAAATATTCCTGTAAGCAGGGTGTCACATTAATGAATTCACACATGTTGTTTGTATTTAACAGATCCACCTTGTTTTCCCACTTTGCATAAGCTGGATATTATTTCCACAGGTTTGCCAGGATTAAAAACAAACTGTGATACTGCAACACCAGACTATTCAAATTGGGGGATTTCAGACTTACCCTTTTTGTCAGCTGGGTGTCCATCATAAAGTTATGTACATGTTTTTCAGCTTTGGTTAATTCCAGTTTTTTTGCGACCACAGCGACCACCAAAGCAGTGCACCCGGCACCCTGACAAAACAAACACTCGCTATCAGCATTTATTCAGTCCAAAAAACAACAGCAACCATACAATACGATAGGGCTGCACAATATGTAGATTCAGCATTGATATCACAATGTGCGCATCTTCAATAGTCACATCACAAGATGTTGAGTGTGATTTATATTTGAAAAAGAGCTACAGAACACAAGCAATTTGTAGAGTCATGGCTAAGTTTAACCATATTAGAGTGAAGGTTTATTATTTGCATGTGTTTTAAGGCCTTTGACTGAGCATTTCAAGAGAGTTCAGAACACTTGAGAATAAAAAAATTGTGTTGTTTGTTTGTGTAACAAAGATATATTTTATTTAATTATTTTTTTATGATATATAATTTATTTTCTGGGTGAAGCAGTGGCGCAGTAGGTAGTGCTGTCGCCTCAGCAAGAAGGTCGCTGGTTCGAACCTCGGCTCAGTTTGCGTTTCTGTGTGGAGTTTGCATGTTCTCCCTGCGTTCGCATGGGTTTCATCCGGGTGCTCCGGTTTCCCCAGGTAAATTGATTAGACTAAATTGTCTGTAGTGTATGTGTGTGTTTATGTGTGGATGTTTCCTAGTAATGGGTTGCGGCAGTAAGGGCATTCGCTGAGTAAAAAAAAAAAACATGCTGGATAAGTTGGCGGTTCATTCCGCTGTGGCGACCCCAGATTAATAAAGGGACTAAGCCGACAAGAAAATGAATGAATATATTTTCTTGTTCATTCATTCATTCATTCATTTTCCTTTGGCTAGGTCCCTTATTTATCAGGGTTCGCCACAGTGGAATGAACTGCCAACTATTCCAGCATATGTTTTATGTAGTGGATACCCTTCCAGCCACAATATTGTCTTGTTTCTAATCCAAATATCCAAATTTCCATGGAATTTATTAATTTAACTGGTTTTAAGGAAATCTCCTAATTTGACTTATTTCTTCTGAAAGTAAAACAAAACTACTTTAATTAATCTAAGAATTTTGACATATTTGGACTAGAAACAAGGCAAAGCAAAGGACGAAAAGCATTTTTTGCATTGTGATTATTAAATTATTGTACCTGAATACTTATAGACTCCCCAGAAAATGGAAGAGCTATTCAACCCATCTTGTGAATCTGTATTAATATTGCAGAAAAATTAAATATCGCAATATCAGACAGTATCGTGCAGCCCTACAAAACGATATGATACAATACGATACTTACCATGATGCCAGTGAGGAGACAGACTCCTTTTCCACAGTATGTATTGGGAACCATATCCCCATATCCAATGGTTAGAAAGGTTATTGAGATCAACCACATGGCTCCAAGGAAATTGCTGGTTACATCCATGTTGTCATGATATCTAACGAAGGTAAAATAACTGCAATTACTTAACATTCATCTATGGCTGACTTGATTGTAAGTTAATCAGTCAGCCATGAAAATTGCGCTAATTTGTTTGACATTAGACATTTATGTAGTGTTAAGTCCACTGCTGAGGACTTGGACATGCTGTTGCTCTTGTAAGCTTACACTTAATTGGCTAATTGAGGGATCAAGCCGAGTTGGGACACAATTGACTCAGTTTCCAAAGCTATTTAACTGCTGTTTAAAAGGTTACACGTCACACAGAGGCCCTCCAGGTCCGCCACGTGAGAGATCTGATACTCTATAGGGTTTAACAGGTTGAGAGAAAGGCACCATATCGTTTTTCTTTGAAATGTTGCATTTTTGATACTTGCGTCTCAATTTCTAAAGATAAAAATTATATTATTTTACTTGATCTAAGAATTTTTAGATATTTGGACTAGAAAAAAAGCAAAGCACAGAAAGAAACGCATTTTTTGCATTGTGATTAATCAATTTTTGTATTTGAATATTGTTAGACTCCACAGAACCCATCTTGTGAATCTGTATTCATATCGCAATATTTATATTGTTTATAATATTTAGGTAAAATAACTGTAATTACCTAACATTCATCTATGGCTGACTTGATCAGTCAGCCCTGAAAATTGCGCTAATTTGTTTGACATTAGACATTTATGTAGTGTCAAGTCCACTGCTTAGGACTTGGACATGCTGTCACTTTTTTTGTGTGTGAATTGTAAAATTAAAATTACAAATAAACTAGTTTGCAAATTTTTTTCATATTATAAAAATGTCGCCTAGGAATTAAACGAATGATAATATTGATATATTAATTACTTTTTAACAGTAATACTTACATATTTATTATCACCCTAATGTTGATTAATTTATCATCATGACTTAATGATAATTTAAATATAATTTGAATATTTTATACATTCAAAATCAACCATAATAATTAAAATATTAATTTATATAATAATACTAATATACTATTATAATATTTTAATATCAATATATTAAATATTAATATACTAAACTGCACATCTGGTAGTTTCTAATAACTAGTTTATAATAATTACTGAACTATTCTTAAAATAAATAAACATTTATAAATATTTAATAATGAATTTATGTCTGAAAATTTATAATCAGAATATAATCAGAATATACAATGTATATGACAATAATAATGCTGCATAATAACATACACTATCGGTATAATGTTTAAGGTCGTTTTTTTATTGTTAGTTTTATTTAATAATCTAAATAAAATGATTCTGTTCATCAAGACAGCATTTATTCAATGTAAAATAAATATATATTTATTACTTATTGTATATAGTTAAACATAAAATGATTACTCCATTATTGCTTTATTACTATTACCAATAATAATAATAATAATAATAATAATAAAATTATTATTAATAATAATAGTAATAATAAATAATAATAATAATAATAAAACATAGTATAAACTACTTTTGATCAGTTATCTTATAGTGCAATAACATTATAATAATAACATCACAATTTTTACTGTATTTTCGATTAAATAAATGCAGCCTTGGAGATCAGGATAAGCTTTCTTCAACATTAATAAACATTTTAAAATCCTACTGATCCCAAACTTTTGACCTGTAGTGTATATCTAATTTTCATATATATATATATATATATATATATATATATATATATATATATATATTTATTTATTTATTATTATTATTATTTTAATTAGGCATACTGTAAATACATATATAGTATACCTAACAAAGTCAGATTAATTTGTAAACTGCCAATTCATACCTGTGTAAAACTGTATACAAGAAAACACTTTGCATGAAACAAATAAATAAATAAAGTTCATAGAAACTGTGGCTTAAAGACATGGTAAAAATCCCCTAATACAGCCAGAGCAATAAAGTGGGCCACCTTTCGCAGGCCCTCACAGTCCAGGCGGCGATGATCCACAGAGAAATGGTGAAGACCAGCAACACTGTGCCGGGACAGATAGTCATGAGGGTCTTCATAACAAATCGTGTGTTGAAGTTTATTTTGTTGAGAGCACCGATGCTGCGTGATGAAGCATCGGTGAAGAGTTTGCTATGCAGCAACATGACGCGAGCAATGAGGTACAATCGCAGAAACATGGGGATGGACAGGATGATGTCCACATCTGCGTCTGTTTTGGATGGTGCGTAGGAAAAGGCAAGCCGCGCCGTCCATGTGAAAGTGTAGTTGCCTGGGATGGGGTGTATGGCGCACACAAGGATCTCCAGACAGATGAAGAAGATGCGCTCATAGGTCATGGCTATCCTCCAGTCGTCTGCGGCGTTGTCCACCATGAATAACTGTTTAGAGGAGAAAAGAAATATGTAAATATTCATACCTACTGAAAAAATACATCTAATAATTCAATTTAGCGCATTGGTAGCATGGTATAGTACTTTGTTAGCATGTTTTAGCATGTCTTAGCAACTTGCTAGAATATTATTAGCCAATTAACAGCATACATTATAACATATAGCTAGCGTTTAAAGAGGTTGATACCATGTTTCATGTATTAGCATGTTGCTAGCGTTTTGTCCTAAATCTCTAATAAATTCATTCATTTTCTTCTGCTTAGTCCCTTTATTGATCTGGGGTCGCCACAGCGTAATGAACCGCCAACTTATCCAGCTTATGTTTTAGGCAGCGGATGCCCTTCCAGTTGCAACCCATCACTGGGAAACATCCATACACTCTTATTTACACACATACACTACGGACAATTTAGCCTACCTAATTCACCTGTACCGCATGTCTTTGGACTTGTGGGGTAAATCGAAGAACCCAAAGGAAACCCACGTGAATGCAGGGAGAACATGCAAACTCCACACAGAAACGCCAACTGACCCAGCTGAGGCTCGAACTAGCGACATTCTTTGCTGTAAGGCGATTGTGCTACCTACTGCGCCCTATAATAAATAGTTACACTTTATTAATTTGATGGTAACATTGTTTAAAATGTTCCCAGCTTGATTTATTCTACTGCTAAAATGTAAGGTTACGTACTTAAGCACATTTTGGTATGTTTTATCTCATTGTTTGCATGTTTTAACACATGAATGTGTTTTTTGCTAATAAACACTAAAACACTATGGTAGAACAAAAAAGAACACTGTTAATCTGTTTCAAGACCAGTTGACATACTGAAATAATGCTATCATGTTTCTAACACAAATTTTATTGTTATTATGTTTTCCAGGAATAAACATGTTGTTCACCTTGTTAGCAAGAATTAACATGTTGCAAGCATGCGTTAACACTAGTAATGTTTTTATAGTGTGGTTAATATATTGTTAGCATGTCGCTAGTATGTTTTAGCATCAATTAGCATGTTGTTCGTAGCAATGTACTGCCAGCCTTATTCATGATAGTATATTTTACCATGGCAACGCAGTGGCGCAGCAGGAAGTGCTTTAGCCTCATAGCAAGAAGATCACTGGTTCGAGCCTCGGCTGGGTCAGTTGGCGTTTCTTTGTGGAGTTTGCATTTTCTCCCTGCGTTTGTGTGGGTTTCCTCCGGGTGCTCTGGTTTCCCCCACAGTTCAAACACATGCTGTATAGGTAAATTGGGTGAGCTAAATTTTCCGTAGTGTACGAGTGTGAATGAGGGTATGGATGTTTCCCAGAGATGAGTTGCAGCTGGAAGGGCATCCGCTGCATAAAAACATATGCTGCAATGCAATTAGCATGTTGTTCGTAGAAATACGCTGCTAGCATAATTAATGGTAGTATGTTTTACCATAAATTAACACGTTGGTCACATTGTTAGCAAGAATTAACATGTTGCTAGCATGAGTTAACACACTAGTAATAAGTTTACAGTGCAGTTAATATATTGTTAGCATGTCACTAGTATTGTTTAGCATCAATTAGCATGTTGTTCATAGCAATATGCTGCTAGCATGTTTTACATAATGTTTAGAACAATTACCAGGTTGATGGAAGTCTGATATATGTTGAATGATTTAATTTTAGAAGAAGTATCTTAAATAGTAGATCAGTATGTTGCATAACTACTTATTAATATTAAACACTTTCCCTCTAAAATAAACGCATCTTGATTTTTGCACCTCCTGATTTATGTCTTTTGCAGTATTTATTCAGTGCGCCTCATTTCCCCTCAGCAGACTGTAATTCCAGCCTCAACCTGTCAGCTTCTGCCAAGTTGCAGTGCTCAGCGGCTTCTCTCACGTGCCAGATTCAGCCAGGTTTCTCTCCACTTGACCGGAGGGCTCTGGAGCCGCATTGCTTTTTTTTTTTTACTCTTGCTACATAGAAAATCTCCCACTTTCCCGTTTTCCCCAATCCAATAAATATTTCTGCTCAGTATGGATCTGGTTTGCTTCACAACAGCGCAAAAGCTACTATTCTCTCCTTTAGCAGCCTTGGTTCCAGAAGCGTTTGCTCATTTATTTTCTTAAAGACATGACATGTTTGAATTTTACATTCAAATATAAAATACACAACAACAATGCAGTTGAGTTTACCCCAAATGTTTTCAAAACTGTTTAGATTGAAAGAAAACTGGCAATACATGTTCAGAGCTGCCTGTCAGTAACATAATTGTTTTATTATAACAACAATTCCTTCTTGAAACTTTCAAATAAAATGTACTTGTTTATTCAAACATACAAAATAATAAGCTGTAATTACAGAATAAATGTATGGATATTACAAGAAAAACTAGTATTTAGCTAAATTATCCTTTCAAGATTTTTCTTGACCAGTTTATGGTAATTGAATTGTTTTCTTGAAGTAAGTGTTATGCGTTTGAAAACTAATGTTTTTATCAAATGTCCCGCTCTCCCTTGTGAAGCCAATACGAAGGTAACTGAATCTGCAATTCATCGACTCGCCTTTAGGGGCTCGCTCCAGGAACTCCAGATGTCCACTGACTGCAATGGTAGACTAGCCAAATTTACAGCTGATAAAAACATGTTTACTGCCTGGTACAAAAGATAGTTTTGGAGTATATAGGTAATATTACGCTTCATGACAACTGTGAGGGGGTGAATTTTTTTTAAAACTCATCCGTTTCGTTTATTATTAAGTCTGCATAATTAAGGGCGTGGCGCCTTGAGTGACAGCTATGTCTTGCTGGTCACTATCGCATCACCTTAGCTGATTCTGGCTGGTTAGCCCCCTGAACTCATATACATCATATTTTTGTTTTGTTTTACGTGGCTTTACACAGTCAATTGGCTTTTGGAATTATTTCTCACAATTATCAATCAATACGGCTTGCTGTGTGCACTTAATTGTGCTCACAAACCATTCAAGATGCTCCATATCCCAGGTGAGCGCAATTCTAATATACTTATACATCATATCTATGAATGTATTTGTTTTATTTAAGATCATTTATCGTTTATATTTTTCTTTAGAACTGTAATGCACAACTGAATCTGAAGCGTTGTCATACAGTGTTATGCCTGGATTTCATCAATAGTCTTGCATCTACTAACACAGACTATATCTGAAGTGTTTGGACGTAATTCGCTTTTTCCTCCTGTAGAAAAACGTCATAAGAACAATTTTTAGTGGCTCAATTTATTACAACAGTGTTTTTAAAAGACTAAACACTTTATTGATAGAGTTCACAAACAAGGACATGGTCAGAACACAAACGAGTCGCAGGTAATGAAGTATTGTTTCTCTCAAAGAAAAGCCTGTCAAAGCAAAATGTAAGCAGACATCTGTAACTCCATTGATGCTCCGCATCTGCCCCTTTTTATTACTCTCGGTCAGCACAATCGCGCAAACAAAATGGCGACAGTGGGCCACGCCTACTTGTAGCTTTATTTGTGCCCTTCAGAAACCTATGTGTGCTATCACAGATACTATGTCCATATCTTTTATAGTCTGTTTTTTAATCTATTTCTCAGTTAATATTAGTAGTATATTTTTGTGCATTTGAACAAAACAGATTTATTGAATGGATATATTGATAATAAACATTTTAGTCACCGAACATCTTTGGAAATAAAAATATAATACAATTTAATTAATGTGAAATACTGCAAAAAAAATGCAAACTACAAAATTTCATTAAAACTTTCGATATGTTTTATTTCTCTTGATTTTTGCTCTTTTTTTTTTTACATTTTTATTTAGTATTTCTTAATAACATACAAATTTGGGCACAATTAACGCAAACTATTTTGTTATATAAATTCCAGATTTGGCTTCAGTACTGAATAATCTAAAGTACTGTCATATTGTAAAGCTTCCTATTGCAAATATGAAGTAAATATTACATATGTGAGGAGTGTATTCCTATATGCTATTATAGATAATTCATACCCCAGGGGTATGAATCATTTTGGGCTGGACTGTATCTATCAGGGGTCACCAACCTTTTGGAAACTGAGAGCTACTTCTTGGGTACCGATTAGTGTGAAGGGCTACCAGTTATTAAATAACACATTTTCCTTAATTTACTTTTTAATTATGTTATTATTAATAATTAATAATATTCATCTATGTGAAGACATTGATCATGTAAAAGATTTCTCACAGTAGTTGTCAACAATGATTTAACAAGTTAGATAAATATCAATATGCATTTGTCTGAAATTGTTTTTAAAGTTTATATATATATATATATATATATATATATATATATATATATATATATATATAAAACTTAAAGTAATTTTCAAATTTACACCAATGCAAGTGTGATTTAAAAAGAATACCTATAAAAATATTAGATGCAGCTTACTCATATGTGGTGCTATGGTGGGCATATACCATGTTGGTGACCCCTGGAATATAAAATTTAATATTTGCCTAAAAAAATAAAAATAAATTATATATATATATATATATATATATATATATATATATATATATATATATATATATATATATTTTTTTTATTATTTATTTTTTTTTTTTTTTAAATGAACAACAAATATAAAGTTTCTTTGTTTATATTCTGATTATGTTCTCAAAGCTTCATGGGATTGCAGTTCTTTGTCTCATATAAAAAAAAATATATAACCAGTACTGCAAAGTCGCTGGGCACTAATGTGCTACACTAGTCTAAATCTCTTCAGCATTATGAATAATAGTTGTTCACTAGAAATGTAAAGTTGAAATCCTTCTGCTTTTTGATTCAGTAAGGATTGTAAGCTACAGTAAAAAAATCTCCTTCTGCTCTCAGATAATGAATGTGATTTGACTTCAATCATCAGATCACTGCCCTCCCCGACGTTCAGTGTTTCTTCCTGTGCATTCAATCACCTCACGGCACCCGACAGCCAACATCAGCGAGAGATATTTCACCAGAGTAATGCAGT